TTTACATGGTCTTTAGATCCTGCATAACACAACTAGATGAAGAAAACATAACAATAAGACTTGCAAAACATAATTGACTAAGTAAATATGGCTGAGAGAAAGGTTACGAATATAGATTGTATTCAGAAGTGATAGTTGATACATAGATACATGACCCCCAAACTTGATCGGTACTAATGTACTGTTATATAACCATCAATAGTTTTAATATCTTAAGTTTTAGATCAAGGGTTCATTTGAATTTATGCTATTTCTAAAAGGTGGGTTATGTAATCTAGGAAAAGAGGCTTACGGTGGGGAGGGTCAACTTATCCTTTTTTCTTTTCAATCTCATATTCGTTTTAGGGGGTAGATGGGAGGAATTCATAAGGATCAAAGCGAGTAGGAGAAAGCAATTGGAAATTCAAGTATTGATTGGTTGATGTGGCTTAAGGAATGCATTCCTTTTCATCTTCTTTCTAGGGTTCTTAGTATTGGATTTTGGGGATTTAGAGTAATGATAATCAATTTATGATTTTGTAATCTGGCTAAGAAATGGCATTAATTTTGATTGCATTATGTGGTTTGATTCATGTTTAGGCCTTCAGAGAAATCTATGGGAGTTTGTTTTTGGCCTACATTGTTTACTTGTTATTTTGGATATCAGTGAATTGTAATGGGATAGGAACCATAGAAATGTTAGTTTAATCAGTCCTAATAGTGGAAATGATATTGGCAATAAGTCCCATTTTAGTCCTTACGATAAATTGATGATATGTTTTAGGGCTATTCGGTTAGAGGCTGTCCGTTAGGGCCTGTTTGCAGCTTCCTTTTGGGATTTTTTTTGAAGTATATAATATTTATATACGACAAATAGAACAAATAAACTCACACACCCTCCTCACCTTTGGTGAGGTTTGAACCCTTGACCTCCTAGAAAGCCAATAACTCACATACCGCTAGGCCAAAGGCCCTTTTGGGATTGTTATTGGCCTTAGTATTGAAGGCACGACAAAGTTTGAAAAAAAAGGTGTTAAAGTTTCTTAGTTTATGTGATTAATGCTAAGATGGAAAAACGAGGAGTAGGGGATATTCTAGTGGTCAATGACTTTTCTGAAGTCGTTCTTGAGGACCTAACAAACTTACCACTAGATCGAAAAATTGAGTTTAGAATTGACTTGGTGCTAGAAGCTTCACCCATAGCTGACAATCCCTATCATTTGGCGTCGATCGAGATGAAAGAAATGATGATGCAATTACAATAACTATTGGATAAGGGTTTTATTTGCCCATGTACTTGTTCGTTGGGAGTGCCGATCCTCTTTGTGAAGAAAAAAGATGAGTCCATGCAAATGTGTATAGATTACCAAGAGCGGAACAACTTGAAGATCAAGAATAAATACCCAATTTCGAGGATTGATGGCCTCTTTGACCAACTGCAATGTGCAAGCTATTTCTCAAATACTGACTTGAGATTCGAATACCATCAACTCAAGGTTCGGGAAGAAGACGTGCCAAAGACCCCCTTTCATACGAGATATGGTCATTATGAATTTTTAAGCAGAGTGTGCAATCGGTATTTAGATAAATTTGTGATTGTATTTATCGATGATATTTTGATATACTCTCGAACAAAGGAGAATCATGAGCAACACCTTTGATTGGTGCTAAAATAGGAGATATTGTTTGCAAAATTCTCCAAATGTGAATTCTGGCTCCGAGAAGTACAATCCTCATGTCATATTGTCACTAAGGACAGTATATATAATGGTACAAGGATGGATTCTAATACCATTTGTAACATCCAAAGTCCAAAGCAACAAGCTGACCTAATAACTTCACATCCAACTTAAGACCATAGTGGAAGCTATTGGTAGCCTTAACTTGAGGCTTGTAAGGAGCTCATATGTCTCATTCTTATCCATGTGGGACGAGTTGTTACATGTGCCATCAGCGGTAGAAACTGCGGTAAGGTGCTTCAATGGTTGTTCAGTGACAAATATATCAGAGTGTGGTGTCATATGGTTACAACATCCTGAATCAAACAACCAAGTCGTATTTGAGGCGACGAACATAACACTTTTACCACCAAATAACATAGTTGTAGCACATGATGTTGTTGGAGGCTTGAATGAATCTACCATGTTGGACAAAAATCGACGGTGACACAGTTATGCAAAAAAGGAAGTTAAAAACAGACTGTGTAGAATTGACAAAATGCTTCAAGATGAAGGACAATTTTAAAAAATGGGTTTAGACGGTTTTTTGGGGTTATGAATAAAAAATGATTGATGAGGTTCATTTAGGTGAAAATCAACCACGATAGAAATGAAAAATAACATACGACAATGATGATAATCGATAAAAGTTAGGTTTTGTTTTCAATAACCTAGTTGCTAATTTCTGGTAGAGAGAAAGAAAGTTCCAACATATATAGTGGAGAATTGGTCTAAGTCTAGCCAATGTGGGACTTTAACACACCCCCTCCAACGAAGGCTGGACAGACATTTAATGTGCCGGAGTTTCAAGAGGGGACAAGACAGGTGAAAGGGCAGGCGAGTACAATTTGCCCCGGAGTGTCGAGTCCCTAAAGTGGTAGAAACCGGTTCTAATACCATATTAGGATGGAGAGATGAGTTGATTTGGTGATCAATCAATATGAATTGATATGAATATTGAAGATAGATGATAGAGCCGAAAGCTTCTGATTTTGATTGCATATTGAGACTAAAGATTGCAATAAAAATGAAAGTAAGAGAACTATTTTACTTAATCTAAGAATACATTAAAGGCAAAACTAACCCTTCAATTATTCAAGATATTACATATATTTGAAAGGGGAGTTTTAAAAGGCATCATGCTTCAGGACGTCCCTCCCATCTGGCATTATTAATGACATCCCTAACACTAGGGACCTTTTATAACCAGGAAAATTAATGTTAAAAAGGCATATCATTTTTTTTTATTAACCTGGATCATGCGCGGACCTGTATGGGTGCAACCGGGGGCACGTGCCACCGTATTATTTCGCCACCAAAGGGTAAAATTGTTAGGTTTCTCAACGGTGCTACTGTATTATTTTGGAAGGTGCTACCGTATTATTTTCAAAGGTGCTACCGTATTCAAACATAGCAATTAAAATTTAAAACCCAAACAAAATAAAACCCAATTGTCTAACTTAATAAAATGCAAAGTCCAATTAATTTATTAACATTAATAAAATGCAAAGCCCAATTATATGATTAAGCCCAAATCAAATATACAAAGTATTACCTCCTCCAGACTAGTCCTCCTCCTGGGCTTTTGTAATTTCTTGTGCAGCCGTGCAGGTGACCAGACGAGACGAGATCACGAGAGTGAAGCTACGTGAAGCGGTGAGTGTGAGACGGCCCAACCCAACGAGCGTGAATGACAAGCGACTAAGCGAGTGAGTGAGCGACAAGCGACCAACAAGAAGAATCGATTCGATTTTGGAACGATTTTGAAGACTCGGACGATTCACGATTCAGAAATCAGAATCGAAACTCACTCAAACTCGAAGAACGATTCTCGATTATTCAATATTCAGATTTCAGAAATCAGAATCGATTCGATTAGGTATTTAGGTTTAGCCTTTAGGTATACATTTTTAGTTTTAGTTGATTATTTACTTGATTAGGTTTAGGTATACATTTTACTCTTGAATTTTTGATGAAATTGATTGAGGCATTGAGGCTTGAGCATTTGATTTGAGCTACTGTCTAGACTCACTAGTTACTGCCTCTATTATTCACTATTGAGTATTGATTTGCAAAATACAAATTGTGAACAGTGATTTGAATTTTGACTTTTTGAGGCTTTGAGCTACTGTGAACTGTCTGTCTAGTTAGTAGTTACTGCCTCTATTAGTTTTCATATGTTGATTAAATTTACTCATTGTCTCAATGTCATTACTGATTACTTATCATTGTTTTCATTACTTAKATCTACGATTCTCATTCATTATGGAAAAATATTTGAAGCGAAAAGCTTCATCATCAACCGGTAATAATGATGCATCCAATTCCAACAATGTGATTGATGTTAACGATCT